GTGAGTGACTGTTGGCTTAAAACGAGCCCGGTTCTGTTCCCGGCCCTCCTCCCCGGCACCCGCCCAGACCCCCCTGTGGAGTCCAGATGCTTTCTTTTGACCCCACTAGAAACCTATCAGCAAAAGCTGTTAGGTAATTATCCGGCAAAGCAACCTAACAGCGATGTGTAGGAGCATATCTGGAAGCATTCCCCTTAAGATTCAGATGAGAATCCAGTTGTAGAACTCTGTTGTTCTCGCAGTCGTAGTCGCATTCGCGATGACAGTCGCAGCGGCAACGGCAGTCGCAGTCACAGCCTCAGCCTGGCCTCCTCAGCCTCAGCCTCAGCCTGCCTCAGCCTCAGCCTCAGCCTGCTTCAGCCTCAGCCTCAGTCTGCCTTCAGCCTCGGCCTCAGCCTCCGCCTGCCTCAGCCTGAGCCTGAGCCTCAGCCTCAGCCTGCCTCAGCCTCAGCCTGCCTCAGCCTCAGCCTCAGTCTGCCTTCGCCTCAGCTTCAGCCTCCTCAGCCTGCCTCATCAGCCTCAGCCTCAGCCTGCCTGCCTCAGCCTCAGCCTCAGCCTCAGCCTCAGCCTCAGCCTCAGCCTCAGCCTCTTCAGCCTCAGCCTCAGTCTGCCTTCAACCTCGGCCTCAGCCTCAGCCTGCCTCAGCCTCAGCCTGCATCAGCCTCAGCCTCAGCCTCAGCCTGCCTTCAGCCTCAGCCTCAGCCTGCCTCAGCCTGCCTCAGCCTCAGCCTCGGCCTGCTTCTGCCTCAGCCTCAGTCTGCCTTCAGCCTCGGCCTCAGCCTCAGCCTGCCTCAGCCTCAGCCTGCATCAGCCTCAGCCTCAGCCTCAGCCTGCCTCAGCATCAGCCTGCCTCAGCCTCGGCCTCAGACTCTGCCTCAGCCTCAGTCTGCTTCAGCCTCAGCCTCAGTCTGCCTTCAGCCTCGGCCTCAGCCTCAGCCTGCCTCGGCCGCAGCATCAGCCTGGCTCAGCATTCAAAATGTGGTCCAGGAATGGAATTCTGGGAACTAGAAGAACACGAAGTGGCCTACAGTTGGCTCCGGGCATTCAAAATCATACCCAGGAGTGGAGTTTTGGGAGCTCGAAGCGGGAGAACAAAAAGCCGACACCAGCACCAAGAAAGTAGTTGTTTCACGAAATGTCGAATTGCGTTTTGGACCAGCGCGAGCCCGCCCTGGCCTGAGGAATCGCAGAGTGAGCGAGGAGGACGGGGGAAGGGAGACGTCGCGCAGCACGCAGGAGGGAAAGCAGGAAAGAACACGTGCAAGCGAGAAACGAAACTAGCAGGCGCTCTCGGGAGAGGAGGGAGAGAAGAGGGAAGGCTGCGGCATCCCTCATGGCTGAAGCTTCACTCCCCCCACCGCCGCCCTCCACCACGCCTCCCCCCGCCCGCCCGCCCCCCTCTCATCCCCCCCACCCTTCACCCACCCTATGTCCGCCCGCGTCGCATCCCTGACCCTCGTCTGGCCCGACACCAAGGCCCGACGAGTTCGAATCCACCGCTCTCCGCGAAAGAGGGCGGTGGCCGCCCTTCGCGTCCTGGGCATAAGACCGTGGCCCCCTCTAGACCCAAGCCCGCAGCCTGTGGCGACCTTCCGAAATCGTCGAGAAGTTCAGCTCGCACATGGGGCCGCCGTTCCAGTGGGGGTCTTGGTGCTGGTGTGGGTTTTTTGATGTTGCCGGGAACAAGAAGCCGGCACCAGCACCGAGACGCCACTGAAAAAGTTCGGAGCGCTTTCCCTGTGGGGGCTGAGCGACCCAACGGAGCCAAGAAAACTTGAGATGGCTCGCATTGCTCTCCGACTTTGCAAGCCATGGTGCTTCCATGATAGAAGAACGTCCCATGCAGCTCATGGCGTCCCTGAGGCCCACGGGGCTTCCATGGCCCGCGGGGCTTCCAAGGCTCAGGAACCAAATGTGGCCCTGACGAGTCAGGGAGCCCATGGTGCCCGCGCGGCATGCTGGGCCAGCGCGGCGCGTTGGGCTTATGCGCGCTGCGGCGCACGTTCGGCCCATGAAGCCCTTGGTGGGACTTGTGGGGTTCATGGGGCTGGCTGGGTTCGCACGGCCCGCGGGCCTCGCGCGGCCCATGGAAATCCCAACGCTCACTTGGGGAATTGGAGACGGCCCGTTATGTTCCCACGCGCTCAGAGCTGGCATTCATCAACGCGGGACACGCGAGCCCGAAGACACGGGCGACGGCATGCAACAGAGGCTGCAATGTGTTCTTTTCCAATGGTTTCTTGGTGTTGGTGTCGGGTTCCTGTGCGCCGACGAAGAGCACGAAGTGGCCCACAGTTGGCTCCGGGCATTCAAAATGTGGCCGGGGAATACAATTCTGTGAACTCGAAGAACACGAAGTGGCCTACAGTTGGCTCCGGGTATCCAAAATGTGGCCCGGGAATGGAGTTCTGGGAAGTCGAAGACCACGAAGTGGCTTACAGTTGGCTCCGGGCATCGAAAATGTGGCCCCGGAATGGAGTTCTGGGAGGTCGAAGAGCACGAAGTGTGTGACGGCTGGCTCCGGTTATTCAAAATGTGGCCCGGGAATGGAGTTCTGGGAGGTCGAAGAGCACGAAGTGAGTGACTGTTGGCTTAAAACGAGCCCGGTTCTGTTCCCGGCCCTCCTCCCCGGCACCCGCCCAGACCCCCCTGTGGAGTCCAGATGCTCTCCTTTGACCCCACACTAGAAACCTATCAGCAAAAGCTGTTAGGTAAAACACATCGGCAGATCTCGGGGGGGAGGGACAGGTACCGCTGCCGCTGCCCCCCGCTCCTCGTCGCCACCGCCAGGGCTCGCCACAGAGATCCTGGCCAGCGCGCGTCCCGGGAGAGATCCAAAGAATGGCGGTATCTTTGGACGCCCGAAATTGGTACGGAAAAATGAATTCAATGCCGAACAACAAATGTTGTCCCAAACCAACAGCGGCCGCTGTGGGGCAGGCGGCCTTCTGTCTGGGATGGACAGAGGCCGCGGCGGCGTGGACAGCGAATCCTGTTCAGAATGAACAGGAACTGCTGTTGGGCATTGTACACATTCTTTCCGTACCCATTTCGGGCGTCCAGAGCGAGGGGGTGGGGTCGAGGAGCACCGAGGCTCGAGGGCCGGAGAGGGAGGAGCACCGAGGCTCGAGGGCCGGGGAGGGAGGAGCACCGAGGCTCGAGGGCCGAGAAACGCGAAGCACCGAGGCTCGAGGGCCGGGGAGGGACGAGCACCGAGGCTCGAGGGCCGGGGAGGGAGGAGCATCAAGGCTCGAGGGCCGGCGAGGGAGGAGCGTCGAGGTTCGAGGAGGAGGGGGAGGGAGGAGCATCGAGTCTCGAGGGCCGGGGAGGGAGGAGCGTCGAGGTTCGAGGAGGAGGGGGAGGGAGGAGGAAGGTGGAGGCTCGAGGAGGAGGGAGGAGGAGGGTCGAGGCTCCAGGATCGAGGATCGAAGACACACAAGAGGAGCGTCGCACATGCTACCGCAGCGTGCCGGGTCGTCCCGCCTCGGGTCCTGTGGCCCTGGCCACCGATCCTGCCGCGTGCATCGAGGGCTCGTGCGGTGATGCTTCAGCAGGCCCTCGAGATGCAATCTGCGATGCCAGGTCCCAGGTATCGAGGAGCACGAGGGGCAGGGAGAGGCGGAGGAGGAGGAGGACGCTGATCGATGCTCGAGGGCCGGGAAGTTCAGATGCCTCCAGGCCTCTGAGGACTTCCAGCAGACTGCACGGAGCAATGGGGCCTCCAGGGACCTCTGGAGGCATCCGGGGTCCTCGGTCTGGGGACTGCACGAGACCTCGTCGGGCCGAAGCTTCTCGAGGCGCGCCTCGGCATGTGCTGCCCGCCGCTGTTCACTTCGCCTCTTCGGCGCCGTGGGGTCCTCGGTGGGATGGTCAGAGACCGAGTCGGGGCGAAAAGATGGTCCCGCGGATGGGGTCGAGAATTCCGAAGCCAATGCATTGAAAAGTCAAGGCGTCGGAGGCCTGGAAGAGATGGCTCCCATGTAGTCCCCAGGCTGCCCTCAAGACGGCACATTTCGGGTGCTCGTTAACAGGAAGGCAATAATAAACAGTGGGCGAAGAAAGATACACTTTTCGTGCATTTTGTCGGCCCGCGGTGACAACTCAGAGGCCATTCGGCGCATTTTAGTGCAACGTCCCTGCAATCCTCCAAAACACAAAGTTTATGGACCCCCAGTTGCCGCCCGCTCGAACGACGGCACATTGTTTGCTCCAATCTAGCCTCCAGCGTGCCGCCAGGATGGCCGTTGACCTTCATCCTCGAAAGAGGCTCCACAATACCCTTGACACCGACATGCTGCTGCCGTCAGCAGCTGTCACGAACATGCAACCGAAACATGCAGGCGCAGGGGAGGGGCCGGGAGGAGAAAGTCGAAACAACATATCAGGCGGTCGCGTGGCGAATGCATCCAGTTCGGCGGCGCGCAAACATGGATTAGCGATCCATGGATTCGGCGCACGGTCGCCAAATCCATGGATCGGGGGAATCGCCCTCCCCAAGATGCGGCCGGTGCCGCCTCGCTCGTCGGCGGACATCCGCGGCTTCTCCTGGAAGCGGCACCCATCGCGAATCCACGCCCCCTCGATCCATGTGTGCGATCGCCTGACCCGTGTGACCCACTCGCCTTCGTCTTCCCCCCCCCCCTCCCCGTGACTCGGGCCCCTGGGGATCTCGACCCCTTCCCCAGGGCCAGCTTTTTGTCCTCAGTCGTTCTCTGACTGCCCCAGGGACGAACGAAGGCATCCCGAGACTGAACACGACCTGAGGGCCCCCCCGCCATCATCCTCTGAGAGAGCGAGGCTTAGCTCACTCGAATTTAACTGCTCCACTGAGATCAAGCACTAGCTCCGAATGCAAGAAGCTGAGGGAAATCACCAGATGCTAGGACTCAGCGTTCGCCGCATGCACCCGCTCTCTGCTCCCAGGGGGCAAGCTCCCCACGTGCTCAGGGGCTTGCGATGGACACCTCTTGCTCCCAGTGCCTGCCCCCCCGCGGGGAGGCCTGGGCTCGGCCGCGCTCTCCTGGCGCGCGGGGGGCGGGGGCGGCAGCGGGCGGGGGGGGGGGAGCGAGCAAAGGGGAGGGGGAGGGAGCGAGGGGGAGGGACGAGGAGGAACGAGGCGGGGGGAGGGGAGAGGGGAGCGAGGCGGGGGAAAAGGCTCCCTCTTCCCTCCCCGTCCTCCGCCCCTGCCCTGGGAAGCGAGAGGGGGGGGGAGGGGGCGGGGGAGAGGCATCGTTCTCTTGCACAGGGTGTCTAGAGCTCGGACCATTTTACTTCGGCGCACACGGCACTGGCACCGCGTGCACCCCCACCCACCCACTCCCAGCCAGCTCGGCCCCTCCTCGGCCAGGAGCCAGCCTCAGCTCCTCCGCGCCCACCAGCCAGGCGCGCTCCCTCCGCCCCGACAGCGCTGTTTGGGCACACGGGGGCACCCGCGCGCCCCCCCCCCCCTCCCCCACCGCACACACACACACACACACACACACACACACACACACACGCACGCACGCACGCACGCACGCACGCACGCGCACGCACGCACGCACGCACGCACGCACGCACGCACGCGCGGCGCGCGCGCGCGCGCGCGCGCGCGCGCCACACACACACACACACACACACACACCACACACACACACACACACACACACACACACACACACACACACACACACACACACACACACACGCGCGCGCGCGCACGCACGCACGCACGCACGCACGCACGCACGCACACGCACACGCAAACGCACACGCACACGCGCACGCGCACGCGCACGCGCACGCGCGCACACACACACACACACACGCACACACACACACACACCACACACACCACACAACACACAACACACAACACACAACACACAACACACAATACACAACACACAACAACACAACACACAACAACACAAACCAAACCAAAACAAAACACAACAAAACAAACCAAACCAAACCAAGCAGCAGCAGCAGCAGCAGCAGCAGCAGCAGCAGCAGCAGCAGCAGGCCGCCCCCAGCTCCCCCTCGCCCACCAGCCCAGCGCGCCCCCGCCGCTCCGACCAGCCTTTTCGGCACGCGAGGCACTGGCGCCGCGCCCCCCCTTCCCCACGCCGCCCCGACGACGCGCCCCCCCCCACCTCCGCCCGATGCATGACAGGCAGGAACCTAGCTCATCACGTTTATGTTGGCGATCTCTGATAATGCTGAATCAAGATCGGCGTGTTCCAGCCTTATGCCACGTATAGCGAATCGGGATGTGCACACATGATGCCCTCCTCCGAATACGTATAGCGAGCCATGTGCAGAAGCGAAGATCGTTGTATGTAAATACGTTGACTGCCTATACCCATGAAAAGTAATCATAATCATCAGGATGGGATGCGCTTATGCGGTGCGTGTAGCATGTCACATAGCGTTAACGTGCACATAGCATCCTCCTCATCATCATCAGCGAGGGGAAGGAGTGATGAGGAGGATCGAGTAGGAGGGAGAAGAGGAGGAGGAGTGAGGTTGAGTGAGGAGGAGGGGTGAGAAGGCAGAGCCGGAGGGAGGAGGAGGGGGAGGGAGGAGGGAGGAGGGAGGAGGAGATATAATAAGGCGCGAGTTGTCCTTATCGCATCCTCGTCATGATTCCCTTCCTACTACCATCGATGATCCTCCTTCCTTTTGCAGTTCCCCCCTCCTACTATCAATCAGCCCTAGCATTCCCCATCATCCTACAATCGGTCGCTCCTTTCACATAAGAGCCATCCACCTCCCACCAATCCTCGATCCTGTCTCTCCTCACCCGGCATCACTCAGCCTCATCCTCCCTCCTAACAGTCTCCATGTTCCTCGCATTCCTCGTACCATACCTCCTCCGCCTCCCTCTCACAATATACCTTCAGAATTGCCCCTCTTACAAATCCATTCGTCCTTCCTACCAGACCTCCCCCTCCATATATCCGCATCCCTCCCACCGTTCCTCCACTTGCCGCTCCTACTACCTGCAAGTCCACCTCTTCTTCTCTTTCTCTTTCCCCCTCATAACATGCACCCTCCTCCTAATGTTCCCTCTCTTCCTCATCCCCATCATTGCTGAGATGATACTGAATACCGTCCTCCTCCTCCTCCCGCTTCTCGCTCTGACCAGAACTTCGCGTTCTCATCCTGACGTTCATCAGATTCTGCGTCCCCTCTCATGTTCCTCCTCCTCCTCCTGCTCCTCCCATTGCTTTTCCTCCTCACCTCCTCCGCCCCCTATCATTCTTCCTTCTGGCAGTCCTCTTCCTCCCCCCTCTCCTCCTCTCCTCCTCTCCTCCTCCTCCTCCTCCTCCTCCTCCTCCTCCTCCTCCTCCTCCTCCTCCTCCTCCTCCTCCTCCTCCTCCTCCATCCTACCATTCTTCCCTCCTGCACGCCCTGCTTCTCCCCATACTCCGCCGACCATCTGTCCGTCTCCATCCTCAAACTGCCGACCTCCTCCTCCTCCTCCTCCTCCTCTTCTTCCTAGCCCCGAAGGGCGCATTTCCGGGCGGAAAGGGCCCGGACACGAAGAACAGAAGGGTGCCCCTCCAAAGCCAGGGCTGCTCTTAACCCTCGTGCCAGCTGTGTGCACACACACGTGTATATATATATATATATATATATATGTACCTACATACAATTAGATACATATAGATACATATACAGAAAGAAAGAGAGAGAGAGAGAGGGATAGAGAAAAAAAGATAAGAGAAAACGAACAAAATAAGCGGAGAGAGACACACACTAACACACACACACACACACATACACACTCTTTGACCTGCGGGGCGTGAGCGAGCCTCTTCCGCGAAAAGCTAGGAGGGCTACGCACAACTTTAAAAACACGCACACACACACACACACAGGGATGTCCGCCTTCCGCGAGCCTCCCGGCCGCAGCCCTCGACGCTCCGCCCGCCTCCCCGCGGGCACCCCACAGGGGCCCGGAGGGCGAGGCTCCTTCTGCTCGCCACGGCCCCGATCCCCCCCCCGGCGCCGGTCGCGGCGGCCCGGGGGCGAGGACCCAGACCCCCTCCTCCTCCTCCTCCTCCTCCTCCTCCTCCTCCCTCCCTCCCTCCCTCCCTCCCTCCCTCCCTCCCTCCCTCCCTCCCTCCCTCCCTCCCTCCCTCCCTCCCTCCTCTCCTCCTCTCCTCATCCTCATTCTCCTCCTCCTCCTCCTCCCTCCCTCCCTCAACAAAAAATCACGACGGAAGGTTTCCTGTTATTTTCGGCCTCCGGAGGCCCCTGCCGGGCCTCGGGACCGTGAAAAGGCGGCTCAGGATGAGGCACCGGTCCCGGGGAATGGGTCCAGAACTCTGGGGGTCGACGCCAGTCGGCGCTGTGAACAGATCATGACGTCGGGGGTCTGGCGAGGGGGGAGGGCGGGTCCTTCGGCTCCTTCGGGGCGGCGGACGCGCCAAAGTGCAGGACGATGTCGGTGCCGCCCGCCTTGACGATGACGCGGTTGCCGCCCTCGTCCTTGGGGCGGGAGGGTCGACCGCGCCACTCGGGTCTCCGCACGGGACTCCTGAGAATCTTCGAGGGCGCGCTTTTCTCCCGCACTGGGAGTGACCCGTCACCGCGGACACCAGTGTGTGTAGGGTGGCTACGCTGCAAGGGCACATGGCCTCGCACGCAACTCGAGGTGACAGTGCAACGAATACGCTCGGACACGCCTTCGGGATAATAGGCACGACGGTTTCCGCTGAACGCTTCCTCAAAGTAAGATCTCTTCTCGTCGAGGAGGGAGATCTTGCGGAAACTGATTGGAACCATGCTGCCCTCTCTCCCCGTCCTCATTCTCATGAGGAGGGGGAGAGGGGAGAAGGACGGCGACGACACATACGACGATATGGAGGCAGACGAGGAGCAGGAGGATACCGATGAGGACGAGAAGCAAGAGGACTAGGACTGGGCACAGCAATAGTAGCAGCAGCAGTAGCAGTTGCACAAGCAGTGGCAATGAATGGCAGTCAAGTTGTCGTAGTCGTCCGCCACCTTAGTCCATGGCACGTTGAGGCGTGGTCCATGCCAAGTGCTGTATGGAAAGGTTATATTACCCAATCAGTGCTTGAACTAATAAAAGGGGTCCTAACGAAGACTGCCAGAATAAGCGAAACATTCGAGCCGACATTGGTGGGCGGCCAATGTCCTGGGTCCTGCGCCGATTTCGGGGCCGGACTCTCGAGTTCCCCGCATGATGCTAAGGTTCCCAGATGTTCGAGCTCTTGGCTGTGGCCGAATACCGCAGCCTTTGCGACCACGGCCTGGTCTGGATGACAGGGTGTATTGCTACGAGCAGAGAGGACTCATCGCAAGGTGAAGAGCAGAGTTCAGCAGAGAGGATAGCGAGTAGATAATAGATAACACAGAGCGGGGCGACTTGAGAGGGTAGGTAGAGTAAGCCGGTTCAGGGAAACCGAAAACGACGACGACGACGTTGACGGCCACGACGGCGCTGATGACGATGGCGTCGACGGCAACAACGACGACGGCGGCGGCGGCGGCGACGGCAACGACGACGTTGGCGGCGGCAACGACGGCGGCGGCGAAGGCGAAGGCGGCGGCGACGGCGGCGGCGGCGGCGACGCCGCCTGCGCCTTTGGCGCGAGAGGCGCGGCCGCGCTGGCCGGGGGGTCGGAGGCCGCGGCGACGGCGCCTCGCGCGGGAGGGGGCGGCTTCGGGAGGAAAGGGGGGCGTTCATGAGAGGAAGTGAGAGGGGGGGGGGGGGGAAGCGAGGATTGCCAAAAAACGAAGGATTGCACGAAGGATTGCAATCCTTTGCAGTTCTTGGGTTTTTTTGCAATCCTTTGCAGTTCTTGGGTTTTTTTTGCAATCCTTCGTTTTTTTGCAAGCACTCGCGCCAGAGCTGGCATCCCACTTCTGTTCCCTCCCGTCCCTTCCCAGGGCTCTCCGTCCGCCGACGCGTGGCATCGCCAGCCTGGCACTCCCGAACAAAAAGAACCCGCCGCTTGATGCGCAGTCGGAGAAATGGAGCTGCGTGCACAGGAGGAGGAGGAGGAGGAGGAGGAGGAGGAGGAGGAGGAGGAGTGCAGCACCAGCTGAAAGGGGGGCCACCCAATTCGCATGCACAAGCAAAACTGAACAAGTTCAAACTCGTCCCCCAATTCGTCAGGCACGCATTTCCTCCTATCAAGGACCCGCCGCCCCAGCTCTTCGGCTGAAGCGCGAGAGGAGAAACCAAACAGCGCAGGATCGGGGAGGGGGGAGCAAGCGGGGTGCGCTCGCGCCTCATCTGACATGACATACTACCCCTAGTGGGTCCTGGAAGCGGAAAGGACCTTCCACTGTCTTCTAAATTACTGTCTCCTGATCTTGAAAAAAAGCAATAAACGGATCGCCGAAACGGTTAAAGGTTAAAAAAAACACGGTTCACAGAGACGGCCTAGGCAATCCGAGGATCCGCAGGACGTCCGGAACCGGTTCGACCAGGGCTGCGATCTGGACCAGGCCCTCACCCAGGGAAACGAAAATGGTCAAACAAAGACGCCAGAATCGTCAAACACGACTGCGCTGGAAACAGTAGAAACCTAAAAGCTAAAATTCCGCCAGCCCTTGAGCGCGCAGGTGGTCTAGGGAGTTTTCTCTTCCAACCCCCTTCTTCCCCTCCGGGGAGTTCACCCCTCCCCCATTGCCCCGTCCCCTGGACCCAGACGGGGCGCCCCGCGAGGCGTTGGAGCGTCCTGCATGGCCCAAGACGGCTTCAAGAGCGCCGCAGAAAGCCCAAGATGACCTCCAAGATGGCTCAAGACAGCCCAAGCTGCTTCAAGATGGCCCCCGAGATGCTACAAAAAGGCCCCAAGACCGCCCCAAGATGGCTCCAAGTGGCCACAAAGCACCTCCCAACGAGGCCCCGCAGAGGCCCAAATCCTTACCAACAAAAAATGGCAGAAGCCTAAAAACTTGGAGGTCCGCGCGGACTTCTCGGCTCGGCGCTGGGGCCCCCCGGCGGCGCCCCCGGCGGCGCCTCCGGCGGCGCCCCTGCTCCGCGCGCCAGGGAGGGGGGTCCAGCGCCGATCCGAGAAATCCGCGCGGACCTCCGAGTTGTTATGCCTATGTCACTTCTTGTGCCCCTAATCACGGACAGAGACAAGAAAGTAGCGGGGAGACCGTGCCGCGAGAAGAGCCGCCACCGTGCCGCAGGCACCGAGTGGCACGTCCTCAGGTCTCTTAGAGCTCCCTGTGTCGAGCAATTCAACACTGATGGGTACAAGCTCCGAGGGGCCCAGAACCCACGATTACCGGATAGCTTTTGGGCAGAGCACGCTCGCTGTTTCACCCACTCATCTCCGCTTCATCCATTACCAACGCACCTCTGACGTGACGTGCACCGTTTCTGTCTGTCTGTCTGTCTGTCTGTCTGTCTGTCTGTCTGTCTGTCTGTCAATATCTGTCTCTTTCTGTGTGCGTCTTTGGGTGTAGCGCGAAACTCCTGGGGCTTCCCATACCCAAAAAGCCCCAAGACGGCCCAAGAGGCTACCAAGAGGGCCCATGACGGTCAAAGAGTAGCCCAGGACCACCAAAGAGCGTCGCGAGACGGCACCAGTCGGCCTCAAGACGGACCACGAGGCCCTCGAGACGCCTGAAGAGGTCCGCCAAGACGCCCAACTCGTGTATTTCCAATGTGTGGTTCGACAGTTTTGAACGCTCAGAGGCGACCCAAAAGGCCCCCAAGATCGCCGCGAGACGGCCCAAGAGACACCCAAGAAACCCAACACGGCCCGCAAGATCCCCCGCAAGAGGCGTCGAAATAGGCCCCAAGAGGGGCCGACGAAGAGAAAAACGAAGGGACACTTGGAGTCCTTCTCCCGGAGAATTGCCACCCAGGCCCCCCAGCATGCGCTCTAGAGCCCCCGGAAGCGCACACGAGGCCCCAAGAGGCACCCGAAAGGCCTCCAAAGGGCTGTCAACAGGCGCCCCCCCACAAACCCCGTCACGGAGGTGGGATGGGCCGATGGCCAGTAGATGTTGATATACTTTCTGGACCAGGTGATCTCTATTGATATTCTCGAATGGACCTGTTCCTTAAGTTCTCTTGGGCTGCTTAATCACCGAGGGAGCACTCACATGCTCACAGTCTGATGCAACGCGCCTTGAGACAGTGGACTACTTCAGCCAAATAAGCATTGACAGCAGGCAGCCAGCATTACCAGCAGAAGGCGACCAATTACCTAATTAAACCGACATTGCAAGAGGATCGAGTCTGCCAACAAGCCAGCGCTACAGCTCATCGCCAAGGCACGAGGCGGAGGAGAAGGGCAAGGAGGAGAGAGAGTCGGGGCAGGAAGGGCACGAGGAGAGAACGGAGACGGGGACGGAAACACAAACAATGGCGAGTCGAGCGCGTCCGGCCTGGCGAGCCTGCGTGGGCTCCTCCGGCGCCCTCGTCTTGCGCGACCTCGCTGCCTGCGCCGCCAGAGGTGAGAAGATGGGGGCGAGGAGGAGCAGCTGTAGAAATAGCCATAAGAAATCTTGGTAAGAGACATGTTTGCCATCGTGGGGCGAGAACAGTGGGTTCTTGCACTCTGGATGCGCGTTGTGTGAGGCGCAGTCTACGTGATGCAAACTGTGTGATGTCATCTACTTGGTGCAAGTCAAAAGCTGCAATATATGATGTGTGCAGGCTAGGTGGTCCGCTTCATGTCGCCCAATCGACGTGCTGCAAAAGATGTGATGCAAGCTGCGTGGTGCAATATACATATATGTGGTGATATACATATATATATGTGTGTGGTATAGCCTGCGTAGCGCAATTCCATTAGTTGGTAGTGAATTGTCAACTCCACTGCTTGCACAAACATCACACCCTCCCATCCGCAATTTTCTCTGCAAAGCCAATGCAGCCACGATTGCGGATGTGCTTGACACTGGCTGGCGCATCTCTGCGGTCGCGCTGGCTCGCGCAAGCTTGCGCGTAGAGCAGCCAGCCGGTTTGGCACAGATGTTGCAGCCGCGATGGCGCTTGTCGAAAGGAACCTCCCAGCGCATCTCAAAGGCCGCGCTGGCGCGCGACTTCAGTACGGGTCGGTCATTCGGGCGGGCGCGGTGTCAAGATGACGTTGACAACGGTGGCAACGATGATGATAGTAGCGATGGAGGTGGCGATGATGTCGATGACGATGGCAAGGCCAAGGACGGCGCCGATGCTGCTGACAACACTGACGATGATGATGCATGTGTCGGTGAACAAGGTGGCCGGCTGATGATGGTGGCAATGGCCGCGAACGACGATGACGATAACAGCGGTGATGCGGTGGCGCTCATGTGGGTGGTGGTGACGAAACGCGCTCGGGAAAAGCAAGATACCTGGCACACATGTTGTTGAAAGGTGCGTGGTTTCCACACGTCATTCAACAGCTCTATTGAAATGCTTCCAGAACCAATGGATGTTGAAGGATTTCGACACGCACGCGTGGCGAAACGCGCGTGTGTTCCGCATCAGTCAGTTTGATACGGTCTCGTGCACTGGGCGCATGTTAGGTCAACGCATATGTACCACGTGGTGAGATGAGCATGCGGCTCCTGGACGATATACATATACATAGATCTACAAGTATATGCATACATATATACATCTATATGTGCATATATACAAATATGTATATAGCGTCGACTGGCTCCGTAAGATTTCAACAAAGGCGCGTGTGCCAAAAAATCTGCGAACACCCAAGGGAATCTTATGTGTGCATGTTGAAATGCGTGCCGCACCGAGGTGCTTGATATGATTTCGACATGTCCGCGCGCGGGTGGACTTCGTGCTATTGTGTGCAAGGGATTATTGGAAGCCTATCTTCTGAGATGAACGAGTGTGCGCGCATTGTGTTATTTGGCAAGGGAGAGCGAGGTGGGCAATACTGGCCAGGCTGGGAAGGAATGAGTTCATGTGAAGAGTGAACGACCAGACAGACTCAAATGTGATTTGCAATGTCCCAGGACGACCTCATAAGTCCAGGCTCGGAAGCGGGGTGGAATCTCTCTCTCTCTCTCTCTCTCTCTCTCTCTCAAAGAAAGACTTCACTCGTGAAAACGGCAATCGGGAGCTCCGATGCTGGGACAAATAGCACAACGACCCACCCGCAACTTGTTGGCACATCTCACCTGGCGTAATGACGCGAGGACCCTGCTCATGCCGATGGTGGTGATGCTGGCGCTGATGACGAGGACGACTGCAACGACAATGACGATTAATGAGCATGAGGGACATGATGATCACGATGAGGACGATTACACCGAAGACGGTGATGGTGATGAAACTTATGGTGATGATGATGATGATGATGATGATGATGATGATGATGATGATGTTATGATGATGATGATGATGATGATGATGATGATGATGATGATGATGATGATGATGATGATGATGATGATGATGATGATGACGGTGGCAATGGTGGCGCTGGCAAAGATGATGACACTGATGCTAGTGAGGATAATGGGACAGTGCGCGCGCAGAAATGCAGCACTTCTGAGCGAAGAGTGATTGACAAACGACTGGATGTTCGCATGCGTTCGGCAGCAATACGTAGCACACCGCAGTTACGGATAATAGTGAAACGGCGGCGGGGACGGCGGCAGTCTGCGAGGCTCTGAAGAAGCCCGCCGCAAGCGCCTAATTTTTACAACTTATAAATCGAGCCCCCCGCGGGTACCGGGTGGGTCGCGGGTGGGTCGCGGGGTCGGTCGCGGGTAGGTCGCGGGTGGCTCGCGGGTGGCTCGCGGAGTGGGTCGCGTGGGTCGCGGGTGGGTCGCGGGGTTGGTCGCGGGTGGGTCGCGGGTGGGTCGCGGGTGGGTCGCCGGCCAGGTCGCGAGTGGGACGACGACAATGAACAACAAACAACACATGAAACACAACAAACAGCGCAAGAGCAACAACAACACGAACAAGAACAACAACGACAACTACAACATAAGCACCAAGAACAACAAATACAACATCAACAACAACAACAACAACAACAACAACAACAATCCGCACCGCGGAACTTTACTTCAGCCACGCGCACAGGGACAGTGAATGACCTTTCGGCGCCCTCACTCGGATGATCTCATTTGAGCGACGGCGAAAAACTGATCTTACGCGAGACGACGTAGCAATCGTACGCGGCACGCCACTTTGAAACGAAGGCGCTTACGCCCCACCTTACGCGGGAAACTTACGCGCCACTGTCTGCGCAGTCGACCCCGTTTTCTCCTGGCGCTCATTTGACAGAATGGCCAACTACCACAGGCTGCCTCATGATTTCAGCGAGTCCGCGCGCAGAAATCTGGCCACCTTTCGTTGGAACCACCCCAAGTGTTCGAAACTTGCTCAATCGCTGTATATGTCTTTCTTTACCGATGGCTACACTGGACTAGCTGTACTGGACTGATTAGCTGCCGTAACCTACCCCTCGGGAGATCAAGGGCAACGCAATCTACACTTTTATACTACACTTACGGGGCCAAAACAAATACACCACCACCACCAACTCCCCAACCCCATCCCTCTCCCAGGGAAGAGGAGGGGAGGATGAGGGAGGAGACCTGGAGGGTTCTTCCGAAGGGCGTGGGCGACCCGTCCCAATCCTCCTCCTCCTCCTCCTCCTCCTCCTCCTCCTCCTCCTCCTCCTCTTCCTCCTCCTCCTCCTCCCAGGAAAGAGGAGGAGGGAGGAGGGGGAATGGTGGTGTATAGCCCTGGGGCCCGCAGCACTGCCATGCGTGACAGGGCGCTGCAGAATTCGAGAGACAGCCGAGGTGGGACGTCGCCCCTCGCAGTGGCACACCAGGACCACTGCACAGATCTCCAGAAGCTCGTGCGAATCAACCTTGAATTCGATGCGCTCCAGTATGATATCTTCGGGCACTGGGATTTCTGGGCACTCCCTTGGGGCCAGAACACAGACTGGACTTAAGTCGGGCCTGTCCCCTTACAGGGGGATGTTCGACGAAAACTGAAAAATACACCAAAAATAATCCAAAAATAATCCACAAATAGTCGGGGGACTATTTTTTGAACTATTTTCGCGCTTTTTGTCGGGTATTTCGGAATATTTGTCCTTTTTCGTCGAAAATCCCATTTGTAGGGGGCCAGGCCCGACTTGAGACTGGAGGAAACACCCCGAGCACGCCTGATAGGGGCCACGACAAGCGGCCCCCCGGGCCCGCTGGCACCGGCCCGTCCCTGCCCACGTCCGCGCGGGAGCACGGCCCGAGCTCGCTCGCCCGCTCGCCCTGGAGAGGGGGAGAGGGCCCAGGCGTCCAGCGCCCCTGCGAGACCCAGGACGGAGGCTTCTCCGCCGCTTCCCGTGGCCTCCCGGGGCCGCCTCTTTCCCGGACCCCCAGCGCACTGCGATGGTTTTTTCGCAGCGTGGCCCCCTGGACTCGGGACGACCGGCATGGGTACGGAAAGGACGCCTCGCCCCCTCTCCCGGGACCGCTCCTTCGCCCCGAGCCATCATCGGCGGTCCTGGAGCCCGGTGAAGGCCACCAGAGGCCGAAAGCGTCGAAAACCTTCCGTCTCGATCTGTTCACGATGGGTTTCAGAGGGCCCAGGGCTGCAAACAGATCAAGCCAGTAGAGGAGGAGGAAGAGGAGGAGGAAGAGGAGGAGAAGGAGAAAGGAGGGAAGAGGAGGAGGAAGAGGAGGAGGAGGAGGAGAAAGAGGAGGAGGAAGAGGAGGATGAGGAGGAGGAGGGAGGAGGAGGAGGAGGAGGACGGAGGAGGAGGAGGGAGGAGGACGGAGGAGGAGGAGGAGGACGGAGGAGGAGGAGGAGGAGAAGGAAGCAAAGAAGTAACAGGAGCAAGGCGGCGTCATGGAAGGAAGGCCGGGAGCACGAGGGCCCGCACACTAAGACACAAGAATTACGACGCAGGACGCATGGGGAGGGTCGTAGGTTTGGGTCGGGCATGTCCCCTGTACAGGCGGATTTTGGACGAAAACTAAGAACAGTCACAAACATATGCGAAACATCGTCCACCTGCGTTTTTTTTGCTACTAAAAACAAAGAATAAAAATATATTGATTATGTATATAAATACAATAATCCTCCTGCAACAGGGACATGCTCGATTTCATCGTAGGTGCAGCAGCCCACTGGCGATGCCGCATAGATCCAGCTTCCCACACGGTGGCATGGCGAGAAGAGGCGCGGGCGGCTACACGGGACTCGCAGGTCAAAGCTGAGACTGGGCAGGGGGGGCGCCACAGCGTGAGCGGAGGCTGCTCTGGTCACGCCACAGCGTCGGGCGACAAGCAGGAGGCGGAGGGAAGGAGCAGGGCGGAGGAGGGATCAAGGGCTCCCAACTTCGCGCTTCGCGCTGCGCGAAGCGCGAAGTGCGAATAACTTCGGGCGATCGCGCCGCCTCCCAGGGGAGAAGAGGAGGACGAGGAGGAATCGGAGCCGAAGCGCGAAGCGCGAAGCG